GTATGGGTTCTTAATGTGCTATTAGTAATATTAAGTAAAATACAAACAAACACACAGCACAAATGATTGATTTAAAGAAAAAACCTTTTACTTTTTTCATATATATATTCTACTTTTTTCACACACACACACATATATATATATATATATGAAAGAAAAAAAAATATATATCTACTATCCATCTATCTATTATATTTATAATCTATCTGTCTATTATATTTATACTCAATCTGTCTGTCTGTCTATTATATTTATACTCGATCTGTCTGTCTGTCTATCTATCTGTCTATCTATTATATTTATAATCTATCTGTCTATCTTATATTTATAATATACCCGTCTGTCTGTCTGTCTATTATATTTATAATCAATCTGTCTGTCTGTCTATTATATTTATAATCAATCTGTCTGTCTGTCTATTATATTTATAATCAATCTGTCTGTCTGTCTATTATATTTATAATCAATCTGTCTGTCTGTCTATTATATTTATAATCAATCTGTCTGTCTGTCTATTATATTTATAATCAATCTGTCTGTCTGTCTATTATATTTATAATCAATCTGTCTGTCTGTCTATTATATTTATAATCAATCTGTCTGTCTGTCTATTATATTTATAATCAATCTGTCTGTCTGTCTATTATATTTATAATCAATCTGTCTGTCTGTCTATTATATTTATAATCAATCTGTCTGTCTGTCTATTATATTTATAATCAATCTGTCTGTCTGTCTATTATATTTATAATCAATCTGTCTGTCTGTCTATTATATTTATAATCAATCTGTCTGTCTGTCTATTATATTTATAATCAATCTGTCTGTCTGTCTATTATATTTATAATCAATCTGTCTGTCTGTCTATTATATTTATAATCAATCTGTCTGTCTGTCTATTATATTTATAATCAATCTGTCTGTCTGTCTATTATATTTATAATCAATCTGTCTGTCTGTCTATTATATTTATAATCAATCTGTCTGTCTGTCTATTATATTTATAATCAATCTGTCTGTCTGTCTATTATATTTATAATCAATCTGTCTGTCTGTCTATTATATTTATAATCAATCTGTCTGTCTGTCTATTATATTTATAATCAATCTGTCTGTCTGTCTATTATATTTATAATCAATCTGTCTGTCTGTCTATTATATTTATAATCAATCTGTCTGTCTGTCTATTATATTTATAATCAATCTGTCTGTCTGTCTATTATATTTATAATCAATCTGTCTGTCTGTCTATTATATTTATAATCAATCTGTCTGTCTGTCTATTATATTTATAATCAATCTGTCTGTCTGTCTATTATATTTATAATCAATCTGTCTGTCTGTCTATTATATTTATAATCAATCTGTCTGTCTGTCTATTATATTTATAATCAATCTGTCTGTCTGTCTATTATATTTATAATCAATCTGTCTGTCTGTCTATTATATTTATAATCAATCTGTCTGTCTGTCTATTATATTTATAATCAATCTGTCTGTCTGTCTATTATATTTATAATCAATCTGTCTGTCTGTCTATTATATTTATAATCAATCTGTCTGTCTGTCTATTATATTTATAATCAATCTGTCTGTCTGTCTATTATATTTATAATCAATCTGTCTGTCTGTCTATTATATTTATAATCAATCTGTCTGTCTGTCTATTATATTTATAATCAATCTGTCTGTCTGTCTATTATATTTATAATCAATCTGTCTGTCTGTCTATTATATTTATAATCAATCTGTCTGTCTGTCTATTATATTTATAATCAATCTGTCTGTCTGTCTATTATATTTATAATCAATCTGTCTGTCTGTCTATTATATTTATAATCAATCTGTCTGTCTGTCTATTATATTTATAATCAATCTGTCTGTCTGTCTATTATATTTATAATCAATCTGTCTGTCTGTCTATTATATTTATAATCAATCTGTCTGTCTGTCTATTATATTTATAATCAATCTGTCTGTCTGTCTATTATATTTATAATCAATCTGTCTGTCTGTCTATTATATTTATAATCAATCTGTCTGTCTGTCTATTATATTTATAATCAATCTGTCTGTCTGTCTATTATATTTATAATCAATCTGTCTGTCTGTCTATTATATTTATAATCAATCTGTCTGTCTGTCTATTATATTTATAATCAATCTGTCTGTCTGTCTATTATATTTATAATCAATCTGTCTGTCTGTCTATTATATTTATAATCAATCTGTCTGTCTGTCTATTATATTTATAATCAATCTGTCTGTCTGTCTATTATATTTATAATCAATCTGTCTGTCTGTCTATTATATTTATAATCAATCTGTCTGTCTGTCTATTATATTTATAATCAATCTGTCTGTCTGTCTATTATATTTATAATCAATCTGTCTGTCTGTCTATTATATTTATAATCAATCTGTCTGTCTGTCTATTATATTTATAATCAATCTGTCTGTCTGTCTATTATATTTATAATCAATCTGTCTGTCTGTCTATTATATTTATAATCAATCTGTCTGTCTGTCTATTATATTTATAATCAATCTGTCTGTCTGTCTATTATATTTATAATCAATCTGTCTGTCTGTCTATTATATTTATAATCAATCTGTCTGTCTGTCTATTATATTTATAATCAATCTGTCTGTCTGTCTATTATATTTATAATCAATCTGTCTGTCTGTCTATTATATTTATAATCAATCTGTCTGTCTGTCTATTATATTTATAATCAATCTGTCTGTCTGTCTATTATATTTATAATCAATCTGTCTGTCTGTCTATTATATTTATAATCAATCTGTCTGTCTGTCTATTATATTTATAATCAATCTGTCTGTCTGTCTATTATATTTATAATCAATCTGTCTGTCTGTCTATTATATTTATAATCAATCTGTCTGTCTGTCTATTATATTTATAATCAATCTGTCTGTCTGTCTATTATATTTATAATCAATCTGTCTGTCTGTCTATTATATTTATAATCAATCTGTCTGTCTGTCTATTATATTTATAATCAATCTGTCTGTCTGTCTATTATATTTATAATCAATCTGTCTGTCTGTCTATTATATTTATAATCAATCTGTCTGTCTGTCTATTATATTTATAATCAATCTGTCTGTCTGTCTATTATATTTATAATCAATCTGTCTGTCTGTCTATTATATTTATAATCAATCTGTCTGTCTGTCTATTATATTTATAATCAATCTGTCTGTCTGTCTATTATATTTATAATCAATCTGTCTGTCTGTCTATTATATTTATAATCAATCTGTCTGTCTGTCTATTATATTTATAATCAATCTGTCTGTCTGTCTATTATATTTATAATCAATCTGTCTGTCTGTCTATTATATTTATAATCAATCTGTCTGTGTCTGTCTGTCTCTGTCTTTCTGTCTGTCTCTTGTCTGTCTGTCTATCTATCTATCTATCTATCTATCTATCTATCTATCTATCTATCTATCTATCTATCTGTCTGTCTGTCTGTCTATTACATATTATTATTGCTATTATTTTTATTTGTGAACTGTGCAGTCAGCGTAGTTTTGCAAAATGAATGCATGTTGTATCTCAGATCCCTGTCCGCTAGATAAGACCGTGTTGTTGAGCAATGCTGATGTGTTGGTCATGAGTAAGTGTAGAAAATGCTGGGATGTGAGCTGGTGAGAAACCACACAGAGCTCTCAAATTCCTCTGGTCTCTCTGTAATTGCAGCATAGACGCTTATGAAAGCTGCCAAACTGCATTCAGCCAAACAAAAGAACACTCACAGAAAGACATCTGCATTTAGAGACTATCTCTGCTCTCAAAAAATACAGTGTGTGAGTCTTATGTATACAACAGTGGAGTATGGTTATGGAGGAATGGTCTGTCTATCTATCTATCTGTCTATCTATCTATCTGTCTGTCTATCTGTCTGTCTGTCTGTCTGTCTGTATGAAGGAATGGTATTTCAAACAGAATGGTATTTTTCAACATTTTTGATCTCAAGCGTCGGTCATGTGACAGAATGAAAACTAAAATTGACAATTTAGTCAAAATCATAACGTTTCAATACACCTTTTTGTGAAAACATGATGTAAGCGGAATGTATAATTTATTGGAAAGTATATTTTGTGAGTCCAATTGATGTTTGCTGTGTACCATATTTTGAAAACCACAAAGCCATAAATAGGAGCATAATTGCAGAGTGTGTAATTCACACATGGAGCCATAAACAAGCATTATGATTAAAAATCTTTTTATAACATCATGCTTTTTATGTAAGAATATGTGGGAATGAATGAATATATATATGTAATCAGTTAAATATTTATAGCCTAAATGTAAGATCAAAGCAAAAAAGTTTGAAATATGTATTTAAAATGTTATTGACAACATTTTACAAAATATCTATGCACAGATATATCTTAACATATGTTTCTATTTGTTAAGTGCTATCTGATCTATTTTGTTAAGTGTCTGCTGTTTATCTTATTTTGACTATGTACACTTTGTGTCAGCTTTGCAATCTTGTAAATTTACTGTCTTATAGAAAACAAAAAGTAATGATCTATAGTTTGTAAATGGTACCTGTGGAAGTCCTGTGTATGTTAATGGTGGAGTTGAGTTCGGGGCTGCCCTGGTCCAGGTAAATAATGGACTCTATGGGTAGCGGTCCGGTACATTCTGCCCCATTAAAGGTGAAGTACCAGCGCTGACAGCAGGCCGTCTTACACTTGAGCCTGAGAGAACCACTGAAGAGCACACGCAGAGCGCTGTCCGAACGCTGCTTGGTGAACGTGCACTCCTGTGAAAGAAAAATCAAGACGCCTTCCACTGTTATATCACTGAATAAATGAATGATCATATTTAACTGCAAGAAAACCTATGTAAGTTTATTGTGTGTGTTTTAGACTAATTTGCTTTGGCAACTATGTGTTTAGCACTTCTGGTTCCATTGTCCTTAAAGGGATACTCCACCCCAAAATGAACATTTTGTCATTAATCACTTACCCCCATGTCGTTCCAAACCCGTAAAAGCTTTGTTCGTCTTAAAAATAACGACTTTATTCAACAATTTGTCTCCTCTGTGTCTTTCAGCATCACCGTAGCACCATTTTGGAGAATATGAGCTGAACGCAAGCAGCGTACGCTATTCTGTGTCAGCCGTGCCACACAGATGCGCTGTTTTCTTTCAAATCAAAGCGTAAATACACGTAGAAAACGTATCCTTGTGGCGCGGCTGACACAGAAGAGCGTACGCTGCTTACGTTCAGCTCATATTCTCCAAAATGGTGCTACGTTGATAAAAGGACACATTTAATTTATAATTTGTCTTAAATCTCATTTTGTAAAAAAAAATGTGTGAATCGAATCGAATCGTGAGTTGAGTGAATCGTTACATCCCTAGTCACTAGTAAAGGTTTTTGGACTGTATGTGTTCTTGCGTTGCCATCAGCCAATCAGTGTTGTCATGATGTCATTTCCTGCAGCTCCAGAGTGATTAGTTACATGCCATTATGGCTTAAGTGATTGGTTCAAAACTTGGCAGATTTTATACTGTGTATTTCCACATCTCATAACTATTTTACATCTTGGCGAATTAGTGGATAATTTGTATAAATTCTCATTTGTACGTTTACGTATGATCTGCTTACGTCCCACTGAAGGTTAGGTTTAGGAGCGTCATTGCTTCCTTTATTCTAAAAATCATACATTTTTAATCAATTCACATTGTACTAATGCATATGAAATCGCTGAGAAATTAGGTTGGAATAGCTCTTGCATTACGGATATAATACTTACGGCTATTTTGCCCAGATCAATGCCGTAGTTTAAAGAATTCCAGGCGCACTGTTTGAAGTTGGGTTTCCAGGGATCCTCAAACCTCTCAGTCACACACGCTCCCTTCTCGCCCTTAAATCCGTCTCTCCCAGGGATTCCTGGTGTGCCTGGAATGCCATTTATCCCCGGGTTCCCATCCCTGCCCTGCGCTCCAGGTACACCCTGCATGCACGTCTGGTACTAATGACAAAAACATGAAGCACAGAGGCATGAAACCATTTCAGTAGTTTGCAGAGGTGTTGTGCCCCGTTAATGAGAATGATTCACCATGATGCACAGACCGCTGTGGGTGGGAAAGTACTATGACCCTGTTCTTTGAGACGGACACGTTTGTGCCAAAACAGCTAAAACAAAGAAAACATAAAATTGGAAGGAGAACTGGAGTAAAATCCCCTGACCACAGTCACAGTCTGTTCACTTCAGACAAGCTCTGACACAAGACAAAGAAAAAACAGTATTACAGAAATTCTGACAGAAGGAACTTTTTGGGTTTAATTAAACACACTGTATATATAAAAATTAAATAATACTAAAATTATGTTTTATATATATATATATATATAAATGCAATGTTTTAAAAAAATACAATAAAATATCTTAATTAGACTTTGTCATGCCCCTTGGGTTTTCAGTCGGTGAGTAAATGTAATCCACTATTCTGTGGTTTTTCTAATAATGACAGATCTCTGTTTCCTTGCGGTGGTTTTACAGACCAAGCCCATCCCTCACAGGTTTTATGAATCATAACCCATTTGTGTGAACATCAGCGAGGCATGAAAACCACAATGAGTCCAAGTGCTGTGGTTTGTTTGTTTGCATCCGCTGATAAAAATGTGGAAAGTACAGTTCTGTGTTTACTTAGATATTAGCTACTCAGTTGTGGTTGAAAAATGAAAGTCAGCCAAAAGCATCTCAAAGTGCACCAATATTAGGTAGCTGCTAAGTCAGAGCTGCCAAAGAAACGTACCAAGTGGAAAAGGCCATCTTTATCACACATGGCCAGTGTGGAAATGAACAGAATTTCAGGCTAAGCATCTGTCACCACATTCCCATTATAAGATAGATATATCTTGATTTGCATTACATTTGTTTATTTTACATTTTGTACTGTTCATCGCTGTTTTATTATGATCATAATTCATTTGAAAATAGCCACAGACTGTGGTTTGTAAGGTTTTTGGATCCGTTTATGACATTTGTATACACATAACAGGTTAAAATGTGTTTCCATGAATTGAATTATCAACCAAAATCTACTCTGCAGTTTCTCCAAAGAGTCACGTGAGGAACAGCCACAGAGTAGTTGGAATCATTTTGGCGAATCAGTTTGTTTTAATGTTTCAAAACGATTCTTTTGAGGCAGCACTCAGTAGTGTTCCGTGAAGTCCCGTGCCTTATTTTTTATGCTTAATTAAATCGACTATTGATGTTTACGACTACTTTTCGATTAAGTTACATGTGTGCGTCAGCTGTTGCATCGTTTAAAATTCCAACACGACACACACCTCTGTTTGAATCCATTACAAAAGCTCAAACGCACTGCGAATCGATTCAACTGATAATATTAAAAAGATCCGAATTCGTTCGTTCGTTCGTTCGCGATTCGGACATCACTGCAAAGCCATTGTTTAACACAGCATGGACAAAGTGTGGTTTCACTGGATCTGGATATATATTTAAATCCATGAGCAAAAAAAGCAACACAATAGCCTACTTCCAAGTGCCGTAAATGATTTCATTATAAACCTTTTCTTTTAATCCATTACTCCCTATCATATTTTCTTGAATCTTTCAATCAAATGTAATCAAACTAATCATAACTAAGTAATGGAGAACAAAATTAAGTAAAATGTCACTTTAACAATGCCTATAATTTAGTCTTTTATACAAATGAGTACTTTCTCCTTAAAAAAAATCAGGCTAAAAATCCTAAACACATTTTATAAATGGTTAGAATTGGGGACATTAAAAAATGATCAGCTGGTTCGATGCCTCTGCTGTGGGTTTGACTTGATTGCTTTGTCACATGTAAAAGTTTAACACGTGAATCTTAATTACCTTGTCAGTAAACTCCGCGTCTCTTTGCCGGGCGGTCCTTTCTTTGACTTTTTCCGTGACACAGAATGACAAAGTTATCCAAAAGCAAATGAATAGCGGAGTCTGTTTCGTGCCCATCGTTGATGAACTGCAGCGGTTCACAGCGCCTGCTCCGATCAGCTGCTGCCGACTGATAACCAGACGGTCGGAGCTCCGCTGTGTTCCTGCAGGGGGCGAAAGACGGATCTCCACACAACTATCACTGGAGACAGATGTGTATGCTGTAATATCGAGGATCGGTACCTGAATTATAAATGAAAATCTGCCCCAATAATCTCTGAAACGCTGTTTTATACAGATCTTCATCCACTAATCACAAACGACTGTGATTGGTCGTTCCACAACAGCGATGAGAAAAGTAACAGCTGCCACGTGGCATTACACCTGAAACAATACAACTGATAAACACAACAGTGTCCAGTCAGCTTTTCTCAGATGTTTTACCGTACGTGCAAACAGCATTTAGCCTACTCTTGTTTACACTTAGCGTGACTATGGTAGTAGCCTATCTACCACTTTTTGCACTTTAGTGTAAACATGAAGTTAGTGTAAACACTGTTTGTTGCTACACTTGGAACAAAAAGCATCTACCACTATTTACACTCACTGTAAATATCATCTCCCTTTTACACTAAAGAAAATCAAGTTTTTCTTCAAACGTGACATACTGTATGTGAATGCATTTTCTTAGACAGAAATATACAGAGGGCAAAATATATTTTAAAATGTTTTAAAAATATATTTAAACATTTAAAATATATTTTCAAAAAAAAAAAATATATATATATATATAAAAAGACCAAAAAAATATATTGGTAGAAAATATATTTATTTACGTAAATATATTTTGAAACATATTTTAGCAAATAGAGGTTTTTTGGCCATTTTTTAAAAATATTTTAAATGTATAAATATATTTTCAAAACTATGCAAAAATGGTCAAAAATATATTGGCAGAAAATATATTTATGCTAATATATTTTGAAACATATTTTAGCAAATATATATATTTTTTTGCCCATTTTTTGTATATTCTGAAATATTTTTGAAAATGTATTATGCGTCTTGTATGGGTAGTTCCAACCACTTTGTCCTCAATGCTCTTTTGAGATTGTGCATTCGGATCTTTTGTTCCTTTTATTTCCTTCCTATTTTGTTCTTCATTTTTAAATCTAAAGATTCTACAATTTTAAGATATAGCCCAACCTGTACCAACCTGATTCGAGCTGTTAAAAAGGCCTTTGGTCTCTCAGGGTTAAAGAAAAGACTTCTGGAACTCTTCCGGAAGTTATTTCAGATTTGTAACGACTTTTCAATGACAGTCTATAGTTATATAAACTGAAAACATGTGTTTCTGAACAAGCAGTCTATTCATTCTGTGCGAGGCCATGTGTTTCTTTGACCTCTCTTGACCCGGAGGCACCACAGAGACAGCGCCTGCAGGGGGTCTCAGACCACAGCTCAGGTATTTCCCTGTCAACATCCCCCAACCCTGCCTCAACACTGATAATATAAAAATAAAATACTAATAAAAATAATTAAGAAAAAATAAAGACTCAAAATATTAATAAACCATATATAAATATTACTAAAATAAAACTGGTTAATTATTAATATTATTATTAATATGATATTTCCATATCGTTTGTCTTGTCAACCATGTATGAATATAAATTTGACCCCAAAATATGGTTATGTAGGTATTAAAGTATTAAAGTATAGTATATATATGAGCAAAAATATTTTCTATGAGTATGTCTTATTTCTATTTTTTTTTATTGTAGCAGAGAATTTAACCAATTTAAATGACTTACAAGAGCTATAGCTTCATGAGCAATAAAAAAAGGAACCAGTAGATGGCAGAAGTGCTTTGTTACAAAACTCCTGTTCAAAAATTGCACATAAACCCATGCACACGGCTTGTAAAGTGCGTTTGCAATGTGATAATTCTCAGCAAATCTCATAAGAAAAGTAAATAAAATTAACACTGATAATATAAAAATAAAATACTAATAAAAATAATTAAGAAAAAATAAAGACTCAAAATATTAATAAACCATATATAAATATTACTAAAATAAAACTGGTTAATTATTAATATTATTATTAATATGATATTTCCATATCGTTTGTCTTGTCAACCATGTATGAATATAAATTTGACCCCAAGTTATTTTAATAATTTCACTAGTTATTGTTAATTACAGTGTTGCTATTGTTAACTAAAACTATTAAAAACATTTCCGTTCATTAAAATAAAGCTGCAATAAAATAAAATATAAATATAAGATAAAACACCTAAACTTGAAAAATTACAAATGATGCCTTGGCAAACTGAAGTAAAATATATACATAAATAAATAAATAGTAAGTACATAAATACATATTTTAAAACACAAAAACTAGCAAAAATGAAAAAAAGTAAATAAAATGAACACTGATAATATAAAAATAAAATACTAATAAAAATAATTCAGAAAAAAATAAAGACTCAAAATATTAATAAATCATATAGCATAAACCCATGCACACGGCTTGTAAAGTGCGTTTGCAATGTGATAATTCTCAGCAAATCTCATAAGAAATCAAGAGTTAGTAGAAGTAAAGGTCAGTAAACCTGTAAAGTCAATATACTTCATATAGGACATTTTTCTTTTGTTATTAGTAGGATTGGGTATCGTTTGGGTTTTTTTCGATACCGGTGCCAAATCGATATGGACACTCTCGTTACTACAAAGTTGTGTTGGATTCGTATTGTTAGAGCTTTCCGACTTGAGTTCACGTGCATTTTCTCAGTCGGGAAATAATTTTTCACGTGCGGTGCCAGTGATTATGCTTTTTACGTCCGTTTCGGAAAACCTGAGGACAAATATTTCAATCGATCGCTCAGGCATGGCACCGAAATGAGGCACCGAAATCTGCGTTCGGATTCGGTTCTAGTACATACCGGTTACATAGGTACCGGTGTCATATTGTTACCTGGTTTCGTACCCAACCCTAGTTATTAGTGGCGTTTGTTATAAGACAAACATCGTTATTGATTGTACTTGATGGATTTGACAAACTTTGAACTTTGGTGCGTAACTCATAGAGATTTAGGAGTCGACTCTTTTGATTTGGGACAGATATCAACCAGCCAGAACAGTCTAGTGGTGTCGCCATATGGACTGGCAAACACTGCTCATATTTTCTTCAGAAAACATAAAAATCTAAAGCACACTGCACATAATCTGTCAGCACACATCGTGTGGTGTGTCCATGTGTCCAGACCGCTTCTGTCCACTCAGTGACTCACAACAGAGTGGGAAGCCGTTGATTATGAAAAGTACGGCAGCCTTGTAATATTGTTCCTATGCAACAGGCAGAGAACAGACCAGCTACACCGTTTGCATTTAAATCACAGTTGCCCGTTTCAGACAGCTTGTTAGTCCCATTAGGAGCAAGTACTGCCACGCTCGCTTCAGTTTGCTTCATTCAAAGTGGCTTTGTTTGTTAAATTCAAAGCACAATACGGATAATTAAACAAGAAAGGAAAGCAAAATGGCACACCAGAGCAAAGTTTGTTTATTTGAGTAAATAGAATTACTGGGAAAAGAAATTAGAGGTATTTAAATACGAGAAAGCTCCTGGTGGTCTATTGTTTTTTTTTATTTTTTTTTATTTTTATTAATACGACCGATGCACTTATATAGAGTTCGCTTGTCTCCAAACTCCTGCTGAGAATAAACTCTTTCTAATTATTCTGAACTTCTCTTGATTGTGTTTTCAGAGGCCCTGGGTTAAATTGATAGTTGTTTGCTGAAAATGCCATTTTATGCTGTTAAAACAGTCTTTCTTTGTTCTGCTCTGTGCAAAAAACATAGAAAACATAAGGATTTTGAAATAGAATTGATACATTTGAGCATATGAATATGGTGTTTGGCCATGCAAACATTGACAGAGCATTGCTATTCGCTTGCTAAAGCTGCTAAAGTGTTCTGAGCATTTTAGTGCATTGCTTTATGGTTGCTAGGGTGGTCTGGGTGGTTGCTAGGTTGTAAAATGATCACCCTCCGAATCTCTATTATATTTTGTTCTCTAGATATGAATCAAGTCCCTCCTTCAGTGTAAATCTGTGGGATTTTTAACTACTAGGTGAAAATCATGAATCCAGTCACTTGCACACCTCTCTTCAGCTGCTCACATGATTTGAGGTTTCATTCATGTTGTAGCACAAACGGTGCAGGTTACACCCTGAAGTTTTGTACTTACTGTTAGTTCAAATCCCCAAAAGTAAAAGTGATACTTGCTGTCCACACAAATTTTCCACATAAATAAAAAATAACCCATCACATTTCTTTTTCAGTATATTTTTGTGCAAGCCCTGTTATATTCAGTGTTATAGGGTTGAAATAAATGTAAATGTTTACTGTGAATGATACAAACACCCTGTCTGAGCCCTGAACATTGAAATGCATGTCAGTCATGAAGCTGAGCAGAGCCATTCTGTTCTGGCAGAAGCAGAGCTGGTTTCTTTAGAAAATGTAATATAAGAATATGTCCTTTTTTAAATGCTGGATGGGAGATTAATATCACAAGGACAAGATCTTTAACATTTGAACATTTCATTTGCTTTTGTCTTGCGGGGCATACATAAAGTCCAGTAAATATATACACTATGCACTGCTTCGCATCCTCCCGATTTCCTCAGATGAAGCATGACAGCTGTCTCAGCTGCAGGTATATGTGTATAGCTGGCAAACATATTTAACTAAAATAGATCTGTTTGCCAGTCGAAGACCATATAAAAATGCCTTGAATTGCACTACACTGTTGTTGATTGCTGTGATCCTTCATATTTGTCACTTTTTCAAATCATCCTTAAAAAAATTGTTGGTTAAAAAAAAAAAGAAAATTTGCTGAAAATGTACTCACCAGTGGATGCTCTGCAGTGAATGGGTGCCGTCAGAATGAGAGTCCAAACAGCTGATAAAAACATCACAATAATCCACAAGTAATCCACACCACTCCAGTCCATCAGTTAACATCTTGTGAAGTGAAAAGCTGCATGTTTGTAAGAAACAAATCCACAATAAAGGTATTTTAATTTCTGGCCAAAATATGAGTCCATAATCCATAATAACGCTTCCTCCAGTGATAAAGCCCATCTAGTGTAGTCCTCTCACATCACATATATTTGTTTAGAACGGTTTTGGACTGTTTTCACTTGTAAACGGT